AAAATATGGAGTTAAATTAAACTGATCGAAATGGGCAAATATAGACCATAACAGCTATCAATTAGCGAAAACGCGAAGTCTCTAGGTGGCCCAGGGGCCGAGATCTCGATGGAACGGACGGACGGACGGAAACACGAGCACATAAGCTTTACCTCAACTTCGTTGTGTTACGCTAAAAAAGCGCGTGAAGTTGTAACACAGCAACGTGAATCTCGACTGCCCGAGGTATTTACGAGAGAACGTATCATAAAAACTTATGGACTATCGAGAACTAATTAGAATTATTAATTTAAGGGGTAAACTTTGTTTTTGTCCGAGTATAACGATGGAATCTCAAACAAATGAAAATAAATAGCGAGACGTATAAAAGGTGGTAATGGTTATATACCATAATTTGGAAGCAAGCATTTTTGCCTAGGATAGATATCAGTTTCAAGGATGATTAATTGAGGTTAACTGCATCAACATCCCCATGGTGGCTCTCGAATTTGAATGAGCCTGTATACTCACATTGCAAATGATGAACAAAAAAAATAAGAAAATGCATATATTTTAAATATCGAAACTGAACGCACTACTTATTAAACTTTATGAAGATAACATAAATGAGTAATAAATATAGGTTTATAGTTATACAATTTGAATGTGGGTGCATACTCATAACCTTAATTTCAAATTAATGTATGTTATGTTATTGAAATGTTGGCGTTTACCGATAGAATGACTTTAATTTAATAAGTAGTAATTGAGGATAATTGACCATTTTTTAATGTACACTACTTATGTCAAAGATATAGATGAGATGTCATCGGGATTTCCGAAACCATAGCAAATACGATGATGGTCAAACTAGAGAAAAGATGCGCAATTAAAGAGTTATTATCATTTAAAAAATTCGATTAGTTCCGAAGATAGGTCAGAAAAACCGAAATTTGCTGATTTCGTTTTTATTTTTTTCTGATGATATTTGAACAGATACAAAAAAAATAAAAGCACTTTCTCATTTCCACTTTTTGAGCTCTACAAGACAGCGTTGAAAGAATTACAATACAACGCCGACGTTTCGTTTCGGAGACTTATTTTTTTTATATGATCCGTAAAAAAGTACATACTGTATTGAGTAGCGTTTTTTATTACGAAATACAACGATGTATGGCACAAAAAAAAACACCTTGGAAACTGTAGGTTTCAACAGGATGGTGCACCCGCGTACAGTGCTCTAATCCCGCGAGAATACCGATCGGGCAAATTTCGTGGAAAATGGAAAATTTGCCCGTTGGTATAATCGAGGGTATAATAGAATAAATAGCGTAAAAAAAGGTACACGCTTTCCAACTGTTGCGAACCAACACGACTCGTTTGTTGGTTGATTCCAGTATTTAAAATTGTGCCAGATTTTAGCACGAAAAAAACAGAAACAGTTAAAAAACTAAAATATTTTGTTGGCAAAACCGTTATTAGAATTAGCAGTGTACATTAGGTATAAAGGATGTAAAATTGTCGAAACTTTTTAATATATGAGTTTTTAGCGCCCTGTCGCCATAGAACTATTTTTTCAAATAGTAACAACGAGCGAAATTTTCGAGTAGTTACCCATTCAAACACGCGTATTAACTGGGAGTAACGTTGCTTGACTGTAGACATTAAATGAATTATTAGTAATAAACACACACAGAAGTAAAATAAAAAAGTCCCAAGAACATGGGACTCGACCAGAGGCATTTGCGGGAAAACGTACCATAAAAAATTATCCACTGCCGCGAACTAATTAGAATTATTAATTGAATGAAGAGTAAATTTCTTTTTTCCCTACACTAACCATTTTTTGAAGAGTGGAATGGTGTTACTTCATCCACCTATGAAACGTATGTCTTTCGTATCTGTTTTTTTATGTAAATGTTGCTTTATTGTCACTTTTCGGATGGCAGCTGGCAGCGTGTAGTAATTAAACAATAGGGTGATACATGTATTTGTTTCAAAATAACGAGGACTTGTAGAGGAGAAAGTGTCACTTGTTTTCGAAAATCTCTTCATATAAAGTCACAAAAAAAGAAATTATGGAATTTCAGTTTATTCTGGTTACCTATCTCCGAAAGTATTCAGAACTCGTTCACTTCTTGAGCAGCGTTAGATTCGGTCCCAAAATAAGCAACTTTGCTTCTCACTTCTTTCTGTTTCCGAGTTCTCAATAATGGCCGCCCTCGAATTTGGTACACACATTATCATATCATACATTCTAAGTTAGCCGTGCACAAGTAAAGTGACTTGCTCCTAGTCCTACCTAAATTAAATTCGCTCTAAATTACAGACCACAGATATCCGTTACTGCTACTGCTATACTGATAATAGATTAAACAATAAATAATGACGGATCAATTATGATTAACCGACTTTCTAAGAACTAATTTCTTATTTTTCTTGTTTAATCTCCTTTGTGAATTGGAACTGATCTTGAAAATTACTGTTTAATGTGAGTAAATACGATTAATTAAAATGCGTGAAGCTGTTATCATACTTCGCTGTTGCAACAGGTTATATCTTACCATGCGTAATGTTTCGAAAGACACAGTGAGTGACAAGAGATTTAGTGACCAAATTTTTTTGGCATTGAACAGGACCTAAATCTCTTTTCGCGCCGAGGATTCATGCACTAGGAGGTATGAAGGTAAGTAACATGACTTGTTTTGGTACCTACTATAGGTACATCGTTTTCATTTCAAAAGGAACCGTCAATTGCAGTGCTCATTTAGATAACTAGAGACCACCCCATTGAGTTACGGACCATAAATAACACAAAATAAATGAATTGCACACACAAATTGTACGTTCTGACTGCACAAAATTTATTTTATTAAATGCCCAAAATGGTTCACAATCTTCTCCTCTCCTGTTAAATTTCCTCCTAAGAATATATTGAGTGAAGAATTTAATTTCTGAGAATATCTGTTCAAGCAATGATTTTGTGCGGAAGTGGAGATCTTCTCGAAACAAGTGTGGATTTTCGTCAAATAAGTGTGTTTCGAGGTGTGTTTGTTTTGTTTACAAATCCGTTCCAGAAGAGACTAGATTTCTCTCTAAAGCCGATGTTTTGGAAACATTCTCCATCAATTCCTTGAGACATTAATTCGTTCTCCGATCGTAATTGATTAATCATCTTCGCCAAATTCTTGTAAAACTTGTATCTTCTATTGAGTAAGCTTGTTCTTTTTCAGAATCTTATGAACTGACCTGGTTGCTGGTAGTCACATTAGTCACTTTTGAGACAATTGGAATTGCAGCAAATTGACCGAACACCTCAATTTCGAACACTTCCTCCAAAATTTTCAACCGTGTATAACTTTTTAGCGCATTTTCCAACTCATGGCCCATTCGTTTTCAAGATATCGTACTAACGGACAGACAGGCAGACATTGCAAAATTATGAACTGGCAGAAGCTCGTTAATAATAAAGACAGTTGTCCTGAAATGTTCATCAAGTACACTGGGTGTTCATGTATTTATGGCGGCCAGTGTACGTTTTTCAAACTTTGGAGGCGCCTGGCAAAGTGTAGGGTACCTGTAAAAATGTAAGATTGTGCTCTAGATTGTGCTGCATCCTTGCATAAAAGAATCATGTATAATTTGAATTTTGATCTTACAGAGGGATATTAAAAAGTGTATAGGTACTTTCCAAATTCTACTACACTATTGTCAATCAAATGTTGAACGCAAAATAATTATAGCATTCGACTCGTGCTCGCTCAGAGTGCGCATGTGAAATCAGCGTTCACGATCGTGTAATCAACCAATCGCAAGGTTCGAAAAGCGATTTTGTCACAGGACTTTTTTTAATACAGTTTACATAGCAGATCTATTGGAATATGTAAGGGCTAGTGTTATGTATAAAGTCAATTTTTAAGTTTTGATCATGGTGAATTTAGTTTTATTTTCCTACTGCAGATCTTCTAAAAATAAATATCTATTTTTTTACCTTATTCTTATGTTTTTTATATTAAAATTTGTATCATTTGGAAATAAAAACACTCAATCATACCAGTCATAAGTGCAGACTAAAACGTGGCCACAGTACGACGCTATGAATTAGGAAAAATGATTTCATTCGTTTCTAACCGAATATCTGTTTCATCGTCGCCACCCTCTTCAAATACCTAGGTATGTAATTGGGCATATTGACATGTTTCATATAAAAGTCAACATTAAAAAGCCATCAACTCCTTGAGGATTAAGATTTTATAATAGATATGATATCTGACATGTATTGTTGCGCCCGTAACCTTAACCTTAATTTATTATACAGGGTGTTCCTAAATATGATGTAAATACAAAAGGCACTAATTCTTTGCCTTATTCTATAACTAAACGTTCATATAAACATAGGTCCTCAAACATTTAGCTAGCGATACAGAGTGTTATAATTTCGCCGTACACTTTACAAATTAAACATAATGTAATTATGCAAACAAGATACAATTTCAAATGTGAACTGTCAAAACTAATAAAAACAAGAGATTATCCAAATAAAGCCAGGACCTACTGGACCATTTTAAGAATTTTACTTTCATTTAGCTAACTACCGAGAATTGATTTTTACTTGTTTTCTCGATCGCAAATACGCAGAAATCACAAGAATCCTAAAAGTTTCCAAGCAAATCAGAAAATCAAATTCTTGTTGTTTTACATACCAGTGGCCCAGCGAGAAAGTTCAGAGGTAGAGAATGGAACGTGAGCCCTGACAGACAGACAGCAATACAAAATTATAAACGATCTCGAGGATCGTTAATAAAATGTGATGAGTTTAGGTATATAAAGTAGATTGGCGAATTACATAAATTAATGATGATTTAGCGAGTAGTTTTATAAACTTTTGCTTTCCAAAAAGTGGAACTGAGTTCCTCTTAAAAATTATCCCTTTATACAAGACCGAAAGGACCCTAAATTCAATCTTACTGCATGTATATCGCTTACACTTAACTTTTTTAACATTCTCTATTTTATTTTAGATAAAGATGGATATTGTGTGGGCTCGAGATCCCATAGAGGGTTATATCCTTGGGCAAATCTCGGAGCTTTTACCTGATGGTACGGAAGTGGAACCATTAGACCCAAAATATCCCAAACGCGTTTGTGCGTTCAGTGAAATTCATCAAACGGGCGACTACAACAAAGAATATGAAGATAATTGTAAGTAAATCAGTTCAAGACAGTCTGTGTAGTGGACAAGAGTAAATTCCGGATGTTGGATTGTCCCCTAATCTTGATACACTTGTTCATTGATCATTCGGGTTGCCACATTTTCATGAAATTATTTTTTTTGGTTAGGTACTGAAGAAGTGAAAAACTGGCGTAGTCAATGCAGAGTTTGGCTTTCTTTTCTGTCGACTTTACTGCATTTTGCCCTTTATATGGTGCTTAATATATGCTCTTGTACTTATTACTAATCTCTTCTATTTGACTAGAGAGATATCATTGAAAACTTATATAAAAATAATTTATTTTTAAAAATTGATAACGGGTGTACTATAATTTGTGTAAAAGGTGTAGTACTAGCGGTATACCAAAAGATACTGCATTTTCTATACCAAGGTGCCACTTGGTACAGCTGTTCCTTAGAGCCATTTAGACGATTTGGCCCGAAGAACACGTGACATTTTCCGTGTGGGTAGATTTTAGAGGGGGTGGGGGTGATTTACTGTAACATTTTTTTAAAAACTAAATATGGCCTAGAGACGAGATCTGGGTGTCTATTTCGTATGATTTTCACCCGAGGAATCCAATGGTAGCGCCAGAAATGTAATCCGGATACAGGAAGTCCGTGAAAAGCCGCCATTTTTAGAAAATGACAAACTTTTGATCGAATTATATTTCTAAGGCACACCGGGTCGTGTAAGGTGTCTAGAGTTATGTTTTTGGGGTCAGGGAATTCATTTATGATAACAAAAATAACCTACTGGCATCGGAACTGCATGAGAGGCTTCCCTACTGCACTTCTTGAAGACGTCGCACGCGGTGAAACCCAAGATATTCCAAAGTTTTAATACCTATATAAATTTGTAATATTTTATTTAATAAAAATACACATTAACAAAACATAAAATATATTAAAAACATGGGGTAAAAAATTTATAAGCCTATGAAGGATCACCAAGTACATCGCTGACCTCCTCTGAGATTGCGTTATCACCACTGAAAAAGAATTTCACATACCGGGTGAATATTATAAAACCGAACGTAGGAAATTAACATGCGAAAAACGTTTTTTGCCGATCGTTGCCCCCCAAACTTAGACGGTTTGTAATGACACCAATCAAAAGAAGATTTTTTTCTCATCTAATGATATACGAATTAGCTTATTTTCAGGTGTATTTCTCATTATTTTATCAAAAATTCGGCCATAAATCCAATTAGCAAAATCATGTTAAGCCATGGAAATTTCCTAACGAATTGAAATAGGTTTTCACATGCACGGAAAACAAATATCGCGTACTAGAGTAAACATTTCCGCTGTAAACGTTGTTTATTATAAATACTTTTTCCTCAGTGAACCGCATTTTACAAAAAATTAATGCCAGGCCAGGCGTCATAAACTGATATTGATTTCGACGTTTGAATCTGCTTTTTGTCTTAGTCATGGCTTAACATGATTTTGGTAAGTGGATTTCTCGAGTTTTTGATAATATAGTAAGAAATACACCTGAAAATGAACTAATTCGTATATCATTAGACGAGGAAAAAATCTTCTTTCGATTGGTGTCATGGTCAACCCTCTAAGTTAACATGGGGAGCAACTATCTACAAAAACCCCTTTTCCCATGTTAATTCTCTTTGTTCGTTTTGGGAATATTCACTCGGTATAAATATTAAAGGTTCGGTAGTAAATTAGGTATATCCGAAAGTATACAATATTCTTACCCTTTGTTTGAGCAATCTACCATACATTTTTGGCATGCCGGGGGACATGGCAATCCTTGTCGCCGGCAGCTGCACCGAAGGGTCTCGCAGCCTGTCGCGCAACCACACCTGTTCAGAGCACGGACTGCCTTCCATACTTGTGGCAGCTTGGACTACAATACAGAACCTTCCTGCCTTTGTCTTCAAGAGTCCATCCCCATCCTTCTGGACTTATAGAGCTTCTCATCACCTGGTTTGCACATCTCCAGATATGGCCAGCGACATACGCCGCTCTCCTTACGTGCTCCTCCAACTCGTGCTGCGGCGACACGGATTACCATGTTCCCCTGCATGCCAAAAATGTATGGGAGATTGCTCAAACAAAGGGTAAGAATATTGTATACTTTTGGATATACATAATTTACTACCGAACCTTTAATATTTATATGTAAAATTTATTTATTTATTATCCCTCTCTTGTTCTGAGCCCTCAACAGGCATGCGCCCAATTACAGAGTGACCCGCATCATGCTATTTAGAGGTGCCTTTTCAGTGGTGATAACGCAATCTCAGAGGAGGTCAGCGATGTACTTGGTGATTCTTCATAGGCTTATACATTTTTTACCCCATGTTTTAATATATCTTATGTCTTGTTAATGTGTATTTTTATTAAACAAAATAATATAAGTTTATATATCACAACTTTGGAATATCTTGGGTTTCACCGCGCGCGATGTCTTCAAAAAGTGCAGTAGGGAAGCCTCTCATGCAGTTCCGATGCCAGTAGGTTATATTTGTTATCAAAAATGAATTCCCTGACCCCAAAAACATAAGTCTAGACACCTTACACGACCCGGTGTGCCTTAAAAATATAATTCGATCAAAAGTCTGTCATTTTCTAAAAATGGCGGCTTTTCACGGACTTCCGGTATCCGGATTACATTTCTAGCGCTACCATTGGATTCCTCGGGTTAAAATCATACGAAATCGACATCCAGATCTCGTCTCTAGGCCATATTTAGTTTTTAAAAAAATGTTACAATAAATCACCCCCACCCCCTCTAAAATCTACCCACACGGAAAATGTCAAGTGTTCTTCGGGTCAAATCGTTTAAATGGCTCTAAGGAACAACTGTACCAAGTGGCACCTTGGTATAAAAAAAATGCAGTATCTTTCAAGAATTTCTGTTATACCGCTAGTACTAGTGTAGTGGTACCTAGGTAATTATACGATCATATAAAACATAGGTATATTTATTTTATTAATTAATCCAAAACTCTAATAATCCTAAAAAATGGGAATTATCTATTCTTGATGTTTATTAACTTTTTGGACACCCTACACAAATGTTACAAGGATTCTGTTCCATCTTCTTTATTGTGACCTAAATAGGTAGACTGTAGTACAGTGTTGTCAACCTAATCACAAAAATCTATTAAAAAGCGCACTAAATTCGGCTTAAATTGCTCCTTGGTCTAAGTTAATAGCTTTAATATAGGACGGTGTCATTATGACAGATGTGGATGGCCAATTGAATGGCATTACAGCTATCATAAAAGAACTAGTGTTCTTACACAACCGTCTATAATTACAAGCCGTGCTGAGAATTATGGCAACACTGCATGGTAGGCCGATTTCCTAATTCAATTTGGCAGATGTCAGGTGTATTTTATATGTGTTTTGGGTGTAATATTCCTATTTACTTGTTTTAAGTGAGCGAGATTGCGACAATTTGTGTTACTCCGTATGGAATCAACAGAAATTATTATGCAGGTAAGTTGCTAATCGAAATATATCGATTTTTTGTCATAACCTCTAAAGCAGATTACTCCTTACTGGACCCTTTACAAGCACTTGTATTTGTTCAAAGTACCTGTACAAGCTCAAATATGACCTACACACTACGTGGTACGTAAGTACGGTAAGTGTTTATCGTGAAAAAATACAATTAGTTTGTATTTCAGGTATTCTAGCACGGACATGTCTAGTCGATTTTCTGAAGGAACCTTCCGACTTAGTCCCAGGAGTTCACGATACGGTAATTTGAAGTCTACGGGGCTCCCCTCTTTAAAAGCTTCGTACCTAGACCCACTGGAGTAGCGACTGGCTTAAAGTCTGCCATTCCGAATCACACCTGATCGTTAATAAAACCTCGCTGATGCAGAGCGATTTACTGTCCTTTTACCGAAATTAAGTGCTCAAGCGTGTGCTTCACCTCGACCTCTTTCGACAGAAGTTCACCAATTTCGGAGATCTCGATGGAAAACTCATTATAATGCATTTACCAATTTACAGCGTTCCGAATTTTAAAGTCAAATAAAAATGTTATTATCCATTTTTGTAAATAAATAAAATATATGTACAATTGTAAGCTGCCTAAGTATCTTTCTTCTGTATTAAAACTACCAAGGCGAAACACAGGAGAGAGGAAAAATACCATTTTTCAAGAGAAACTTGAATCGGCCCACCGATTGACTTTCGAACAACGTTGCCAAACTTCTCAGCATGGCTTGTAATTATAGACGGCTGTGGTTCTTATGAATTCATAAGTAATTACGTCAAAATTGACCAACGCGATTACCATGACATCTACTAATATGGGCACTTGATAATTTTGATTTTCAATTCACGAGAACGTTTAGATAACTCAAAACGCGAATAAAATGAATTAAATTTTGAATGATGAACGTTAAATTAAACTACGCCTCATGATTTTAACTTTACACCCGTTTCATTATGGTGTTCATATAATCGAGCTTGTATCGTTAATAATTTAAAAAAATAATGTTGGGACCACCAACTTATAAATTAAGATGAACTGCTAATGCTGAATTGACAAATGACACCTACATGGGGGCAGCCATCATGTGCACTCACTTGGCGCGAAATTCAAATCAACTAATAAACAAGCCCTCACGTTTTCTAAATCAATTACAGTGACACATGTCATTTTTCAAAGTTACAATAGTCTCAAAACTTGAGCACTAGGAAAATTCCCATAGAAAATAACTATAAAACGTGCACATCTGTTTGATCAGCAGTCCATCTTAATTTATAAGTTCGTGGTTGGGAGGAACTAACTTCAGGAACTAACAAATTAATTTAATGAAATTGTAGTAACCCCAACACCACATAAAAATTCCAAATTTTCACTTGTCCAAATCATAAGTCGACGAATCAAAATCTCTATAAAGCAAATACAATTCATCATACTTTTAGGTGAAATGATGTACCTAAATGAGAGCACACTATTAAATAACGTGAAAAGAATGTACTACAAAAACAGAATTTATGTTTGTAACACTTTTTATAGTACAACCTGCACTTTAACAGTTATTTTTATAGACTTATGTTGCAAACATATTAATTGCTGTAAATCCCTACAAAGAAATTTCTTCACTGTATTCACAAGAAGCCATCCAGAAGTACAGAGGCAAATCACTAGGTCAAGAACCTCCACATGTTTTTGCAATTGCAGACAAAGCGTTTCGCGACATGCGAGTTTGCAAACAATCACAATCAATTATCGTCTCGGGAGAATCGGGAGCCGGAAAGACAGAATCTACGAAACATTTGTTACGTTTTCTTTGCAATTCCAGTACAGGTTCCGTTGAACAAAAAATTCTGGACGCCAATCCTGTCCTTGAAGCGTTTGGCAATGCAAAAACTACTAGAAACAATAACAGTTCTCGATTTGGGAAATTTATGGAGGTGCATTTTGACAACAAATTTCAGGTTGCTGGAGGTTACATTTCGCATTATTTATTGGAAAAGTCGCGCATATGTTCTTCTACGGGCGAGGAGCGAAGCTATCATGTATTTTATAGCCTTATGGCGGGTGCTCCCGAACGTCTTAGGCAACAATTGCAATTAACACAACCTGATCACTTTAATGTAGGTAAGAGAATTTACTATAAACATTTAACAACAGTGTAATTTAATTTCAGTATTTAAAAAGTGGATGTACAAGATACTTTGCATCATTGAAAAATGAAAAGCTTCTGTCTTCTAGTCAAAAGAGTGCCGATCAAGTACTGCATGGTCCATTAAATGACACAATTGTCGACGATGTAGAAAATTTCCAAGTTCTTGACAAAGCCTTATTAAATCTGGGATTAAATGATTCCGAGAGGCAACAAATATACTCTATGGTGGCAGCAGTGCTACATCTTGGAAATATAAATTTTGAAGACAACCCAGAAGACACCAGGGGTGGTTGTAGGGTGTCGCAAACCAGTGAGAAAACGCTTCTTATATCATCGTCATTACTAGGAATAGATGCCTCGGAGCTGAGGCAATCACTAGTATCTAGAGTTATGCAAAGTAGTAGAGGAGGTGTGAAGGGAACTGTGATAATGTAATAATTGGCCATTTTTATTTCTTTATCTAATCGTGCAACTTCAGGGTGCCTTTAAAAATGTATGAAGCCGCCAATGCAAGAGACGCTTTGGCAAAGGCTATCTACAGCAAGTTATTTGACTACATTGTGCATCGAATTAATCAAAGCATTCCATTTTCGGCATCTAGTTATTATATTGGTATATTAGACATTGCGGGTTTTGGTAAGTATACAATCCATACAAGAACAAAGATGACTTTGTTGTTTTAGAGTTCTTTACTGTAAATAGTTTTGAGCAATTTTGTATAAATTATTGCAACGAAAAATTACAACAATTTTTTAATGAAACTGTGCTTAAATTTGAACAGGAATTATACAAAAGGGAAGGACTTAATGTTCCTGAGATCAAATTTGTAGATAATCAAGATTGTATTGGTAAGCGTTCACATGCAATTTGGGGCGATGAATTGATCCTTAATTTTTAGATCTTATCGAAACTAAAAACAATGGTATTTTTACTATACTGGATGAGGAATCGAAACTGCCCAAACCGTCATACATGCATTTCACTTCTGAACTGCATAGCCGATGGAAGAATCATTTTCGGCTTGGGTTACCTCGCTCATCACGTTTGAAAGCTCATAGGAATTTAAGAGATGACGAAGGATTCATGATTAGGCATTTCGCCGGTGCTGTGTGTTATCAAACCGTAACGCTTCACCCACTAAAATTGATAGATAATCATCACCTTATTTCATAGGTTCAATTCATTGAAAAAAATAATGACGCCTTGCACGCCTCCCTGGAAGGAATTGTCCAGGAAAGTTCCAATAAATTTATTCAATTACTTTTTGCAACCGCTAACGCTCAAAAAGGCAAACTGACCTTCATCAGCGTTGGAAACAAGTTTAAAACGCAACTTGCGGAGTTAATGGAGAAGATTAGAAGTAACGTATGTGTTTTATACAGAGACTTGCCATGTTTTATATGACTACTTTATTAACTTGTGTACTGATCTGTTCGATTTTAGGGCACAAATTTTATACGCTGCATCAAGCCTAATAATAGAATGATCGATCAGCAATTTGATGGTGCTCTTAGTCTTATGCAGTTAAAGTGTTCAGGAATGACATACGTATTAGACCTTATGGGACATGGATACCCTAGTAGGACACCGTTTAGTGAACTTTATAATATGTATCAACAATATTTACCCGCTGAATTAAAAAAGTTACCCCCAAGGACTTTTTGTGAGGTAAGGGAGTGATGTCTAGATGGCATACCTACTTTGGTATGTGCTTTTAAATTGATTTCCTTTTATTCGCGCGCGTGCAAGACAGTGAGACTTAGAAGAGATCATTGTGAAACTGGAGGCACATAGTCACTTCCTTTTAATGAACTATTAGGGGCGCAACAAGCTTCATCGTAATCGCATTGGGGCGCGAACGCGCATAAATAATGGAAGGGACAAATTGTCATTGCCCCACCACAACTTATAACTAGATATTTCACGGAAGGGTTAGGGTAACGTCTGCAAATTCATTGTGTGATTTTTATTTATTTTTTTTATTTTGCCTTTTATTTTTGTTTGGAACACTCAAAGTATTTAATTTTGAAATTATAAGGCTCCGATACACGCGCATCGAAGCTTGGAGCACCAGAATTTTGTATCAGTTTTTCAGCATCTTCTTGCTCAGATTCTTAATTCAGATGCTAAAAAGTGGTACTTGTACCTATACCTAACGAATGTCAACACATGAAGAAGGTAAAACGTATGTTGTATGGAGAATAAAAATTAAAAAAGACCCAATCCGTTTTTTTTAATTGTATGAGGATGAAAATATAGGTAGAAACCTTTGATTATATTATCTTTTAAAACAGTTTGCAGATAAACTTAACAAAAACCGCCAGTAGTGCCATCGCCAACCAATGGGATTTGAAGAAGTATTGATTTTTCTTTATCCATCAGCAATTCAATACAGCAAGTGCAGTGGGGCGAGGGAAATAAAATATTTAGCTCAATTTTGTGCACTAGACCTCAACTCCCACCTTCGCTCCTAGCTTTGTACGGAGCCATGGTCGACGCTTCGATGTAACCACACTAATCTAGTATTGCAATTTTTTGATGAGTGGAGCGATGGTAGGCGCTCTGTTGTGTCCGCACACTTAGAATGGGCTTGGTATCCATTTAAATCTACATTGTTTAAACACTTTTGAGCGTGAACGACAAACTTACCGCTCCCTGCGTCAGTTTGAGTGGACCTTTAAATAAACGCAAATGTATAGGCTACGAGGATTACTGACTACAAGAATGCTACAAGAGAGAATTAACATAACGAGTCTTGTAATTTGATCTTGTATTCATCCCTTCGGGATTAAATTCCCTTCTGTCAACCTCAACTACCTATATGACATAGGTACCTATCAAAAGTCAAAAAAGAGCATTGAGTTAGAAAACTCAATGAAAAAGAGATAATTCAAAAAAAGGGATTTTTTCTGCATTATACCTACCACATTAAGACTGTAACATGACCTGTTATACGTTTAGTCAATTTACTGCACAGCACACGTAAAGTTTTTAATTATTAATTGATTGATGATTTTTAATTGGGTTTTATTTTTGTAGGCTATGCTGCAAAGCTTAAAACTTAGAGAAAAGGATTTTAAATTTGGTGTCACAAAAGTATTCTTCAGACCAGGAAAGTATGCAGAGTTTGACAAGATTATGAAATCTGACCCCGAAAATCTTAAAGAAATAGTGTTAACTGTAAAGAAATGGCTTACCAAATCCAGATGGTTGAAATCGCAATTTTGTGCACTTACCGTAATTAAACGTAAGTATACATCTGATAATAATTGTTTTCTCACAATAACGATTATAGTGAAAAATAAGATTTTATATCGCAGAGAGGCATTAATTAAAATCCAAAAAACTGTGCGAGGATACTTGATTAAGAAAAAACAGAAACCCAGAATTACTGGCATACGAAAGATGAAATCCTTAGAGGCAAATCTCAAATTGTTAAATGAGATTGCAAATCAACTAAAAAAGGGCAAAGAAAACAACATGAACGAAATCAATTCGTTGAAAGGCGGAATTTCGCTTGCAGTTGGAAGAATTAAGGTAGTACCTACGAGTTGTATAATAATTTGTTTATAATTTTGTGCAAATTAGAAAGAAGAGGCAATATCGGCAGAAGTAATTGATTCTCTTTATAACGAACTATTAAAGAAGTTTAATGATCAGATGAATATCTTAAAGAAGAAAGTGCAAGATGAGAAAATTGCCGAAGAACAGGAAAGACTTAGAAAAATTCAAGAAGAAATGGAAAGAGAAAGACAACGAAAGGAGGAGGAGGAGAGAAAGCTACGGGAAGAAGAAGCAAATAGAAGGAAAAAAGCCGAAATGGAGGCGCATCGCAAACAAGAAGAGGAAGAACGGCTAAAACAAGTAATGTAGACAGTAACAACCTGATTCGACATCACACTTTAATTTACAGGAAGACGCGGATAGGAGAGCGGCATTAGAACTACAAGCTATCCACGAAAAAGAAGCAAATGAAGAACGCATTTATGAGGAACAGTTAGAGCAAGAAAGGCAAGATCATGAGTTAGCCTTGCGATTAGCACAAGAAAGTAACGGGCAAGTTGAAGAAAGCCCATCTGTAATAAGAAAGTAAGTTTTCAAAGTAATTCATTTCCTCTGTTGTACATTTATATTTGTACATAGCACTTGTACAGATTTAAGTGCACGATAAAAATTGTAGCTCGTAGTATTATAGCAAAGTATGTACGGGGTGTCCACACCATATTCTCATCAGCCAATTTTCTACTTTTGATTTATCACTCTTTCAGAAATATGACTGGAAACGGTTTATAAAAAGGAACATTAGATTTTCTATAACACTATGCGAACCGAAATTTATTTTAATATTAAAATTACAAACTGGGGCACTTTCATCATGCGCATTTCAAATTCTCGACAGAAAACATGACACTTTTTACAAACTGTTTTTTTTACACCTATCCTGCTGTGGCTCATACCTAACTAGTAATATACATGATGTAGGTATTAATTAGCAGGTGGTATCAATAGAGAACACAAATAACAGGAGATCAATAATTGTTCCGGTAGCAGTTGGTTGTGCGTATTTTCTCTGTCTAGCACGAATGTACGGTTGTTAATAAGTTCGTCGATTTCAACAGTCAAGTCACTAAAAAAACAAGCATGTATGAACAAAAACACTTGTAAGTTTTGGAAAAAGGTATTACTTATGGTTATTTTGTAAAAATGCACAGAAATTAAAAAGACACCAAGTAAAAAATCAGAAGGCACAGCTGTCATATCACAGTTTGAACAAGAGAAGGCATTTGTTTTTTTGTGACAACTGCCAAACATACGTGATCTGACCAGAACAATTATTGGACGAATCATTGGGTCAAATTCATGCTTTTAGGTTGATTCTTATTTAAGAGGTTACGAGGCATGTTTTTAAAGTAGGCAAGTACTTACTGTTTTGAAATTAAAAAAAAAACAAGTTGAAAACCCATGTAAACATAAATGACGCGAGAGTATTTTCCTCCTAATAATATTAATGCTAGAGCATTCAATAAGTGAGATCACCGAAAACCTGAAAATTGTCAAATGTTTTTCCCATTTTCCCTAGCTTAAACTGTCGGAAATGGGCGGTTCCCAGGGGCACTTTTTTTTCGGAGAATCTGAATCAGAATTTCCATAAGACGTTAGATGTAGAAGCAACAGGCTACAACTTTCTTATTTCATACGAGGGCCATATTGGATTTTTATGGAATGAGATAGAGGACTGAAAAAGAGAGATAATGACAGTCTGTGACTTCCCACCAGATGTAGATACACGGTGCGCATGCGCTAAATATCGACCGTAGGATTGCGATGGTGTAATTGAAAACCGGTACTTACTTTAAATACACGCCTCGTATATCCTTATCATACCTGACATGGCACTTTGGGAATATACGGCTAATAATTCCCAAATATTGCAAAAAAATTAAAGAACACAAAATATAAAATGATCAAGGCGTTCCATTGAATAAAAAATCAATTAAAACCATATGGTGTCAAATAAAGGGGAGCGTATAAACTGTTTGTTAAATCGTGAAGTACTATCAATGTCGATGCAATAAGAAAGAGACCGAAGCGTTGGTTCACTCTTTTCTTTCTTACGAAAATCGCGACCGCACGCATTTGTTTCAAAACTCATGGCCAATCGAAATAAGAAAATATGTATAGAAGAGAACTTGTCAATTCATCGACGCCATATATCTATCTTCAACCGTTTATGAATAAAAAGCAACCACAATACTCCATGTTTGTAATTCGTAAACCGCGTTTTGAGATAAATGCACCCGGTCGTGATTCTTGTAAGAAAACACCATAAAACTCCACTAGTAGGAGTGTAATATGCTGACTCGAAATATTACGTTTCTCTCGCATTCAATCAACAATAAACGGAATTCTCTCTGTGCTTATTCTAAAGATAGGGATCCATACACTCCTCTTATTTCAGACCATGATTCAAACCGAAAGTATTAGGTTGAAACTTCAAAAACCATATATTATAGTGAATCAATGGTGAGGACATCTTGTATACATACTACTACTATTTTCAAAACAAGGTGATAGAAATAGTAATTACTTTACCAAATGAGAAATTAGATGCTTATGTTAAAATGATGAATAACATCATCACTTTTCTGTCACATTTACTTGTATTAGTATAACGTACACCTGTGGTGGCAGCTTACTGTCAAAGCTTGTTGTTTCCATGATTCAGCGGCCCAGTGGGATCTACTCAGCAAATAAAGAAACTCAACAGGTATTTTTTTTAATTCAATTAGTTACTAACCCAATAACGACACAAATATAGGCAATTAAGCTAAATAGTCAATTTCATTCAATTAATAGAAATTCAGCTAGCAGTTCTTTAGTTTCATAATTAAAAGTATTAAGGGCCGGATTGACTTAATAAAGAAGTTTGATTGCTTAAAATTCACAAATTCTCCAATGAAGTGAACTGAACTAACGTTGAACTACCGTAGTAAAACTTGGCCCTACTGTGGAACATTAATAAAAATCAATACTTGAACAATACTCATTGTATCAATAATTTCTTGCTGTGTACAGTTATCATGTTGGCATTGTGTTGCTTGATTTCCTCACAATCACAGTTCTCTATACATGCATCTTTATATATGTACCTATTTTTTTTATGTATTACCTTATTACTAACCTTGAGAAAAGAGAGAGAGAAGTAATGTAATGCAACCAAATATATGAGCAAAACAGACATTGGCATTACATTAGTTCTTAGCCCAAAACAGTCAAGTTTAAGAATTTTAATACGTGGTTTTGTAACTATAGGTATGATCAGTTGAAGAACAACCAAACAGCCAATAAAGGAAAATATGATTTGTCAAAAATGAAATACTCAGAACTACGGGACACCATCAATACATCCTGTGACATTGAACTGCTGGAGGTACGTCAATAACCAATTTCCGATAACAAATGACAGTAACAAACACAGGCATGCCGACATGAGTTTCATCGACGGTTAAAGGTGTATCACGCTTGGAAAGCAAAGAATCGCAAGCGCACAACCATGGACGAAAACGAACGTGCGCCAAAATCCGTGATGGATGCGGCGACAAAAGCGCCTAGAATACAACAAAAAGTTGCAGTTATCGAAAATAGCCATCGTTATTTTCGTATTCCTTTCATACGTCCTGGGCAAGCGACCGCTGTTGGAGAACATCATAAAAGAGGCTGGTGGTTTGCGCATTTTGATGGGCAGTATGTTGCCAGACAGATGGAGTTACATCCGGAAAAAGCTCCAATACTATTACTTGCAGGTAATGGTGGCAACACTTTCCACACACAATAAACTGTAATTTTAGGCAAGGACGACATGCAAATGTGTGAACTCTCTCTAGAAGAAACAGGATTGACTCGAAAGCGAGGAGCAGAAATATTGGAAAACGAATTCAACAAGGAATGGGAACGTAACGGTGGTAGTCCATACCAGTGTCCAGCAGATAGAAAACGCTAAAGAATTGATTAACTGCAATATTTATGACTTTCGCCCTTTTGCTAATTTATTAGATTCTTCCTATATGTGTAGATAAAAAAAATTGTATGTTTATTATAGTTTATTTATTTAAACTTTTCAAAGATAAATTGTGTGATTTTGTTACTCTAGAAAGCTATTTGGATGTGTATTACTTGCATTTATAATATTTATACAATTTCTACTTAATGCTTTTAATTTTCTTTTTTTCTCTGTAGACTGATTTCTGCTGAACTGCAACAAAAATTAAACAGTCTGTAATAAAATATATACAGTAGGTGAAACAGTAATGTTTCCGGAAACTAGAGGATCTGCTTGTGATGTGGTGCAAGATAATATGGTAATAAGGCCATAAGCCAAGGTGAATGTTTCTTATCTGTTACGAGTTAAGGGCACCCGGAACGGTGTACGAAATCCCTCTGCACCACTCACTTAATCAAATACTCAATCAAATATCAGTCCTCAAGTCTCACCCTGTCCACATTACTGATCATAAAGATTTTTGTAAGAGTTAAATATGAAAACTCATAAACGAATCATTCATGATCACATAAGTAATACTTACTAAATGGGTCGAATTTTATCATCTCTAGTTTATCTCCCAAACGTTCGCGGACTTTATTCATAGTGTGACCACTCACGAGGCTCTCCATTTGGACCATTATTAACCTGTTTAACAACAATTGTTAAATCAGCAAACATTTCTATAGTGCTTTTCTAATTGTTTTTTTAATGAGATTTATTGTTACAAAATTATTAAAACGTCCTATTTTGGTTTTGATCCGTAACCATCTTCATGGTTGTTGAGGGTATTAAAAGTTTAAAAGAGCCATTACGGCTTGAACAATTTTTTTTAATTTTTTTTCGCATACACGCCAAAATGGCTCTACTCTACAAAAAAGTTCATTACTATTTTTTGAAAGCTCTTTTGTTTTTGAGATGTTTAATAAACTATTTAGTTTATTTTTCTTAATTTGCATTTTTCTCTAAAAGTAAGTATCAGATTGAAAAATGTTAATTACGAAAAAGACGTATCTTGATGAGATCTACAAAAAAGGCTTGTACACTTTTTGCGTCAGGTTTACAATAAAGGCGCTAGAGGGCATTTTATTTACCTATTGTATTATAACTTCTAAATTATTTCACCATTTCCACTCCAGTACCATTTAAGTTTAAGTGTTAGGAGATATACTGCGAACCGTAACCAGAGAAACCCAAGGAGAAACCATCACAATTTAGAAGTTGGCAGTTGTGTTAATATAATATTATATGTTTTCGTAGTTGATTCCACGGTAGCTTTGAGGGGCACTGGGTCAATTCGAGTTTCATGTAAATAAAAGTATATCAAGGGCATACATAACATAGCGTTTGCTTGTAAACTCTCCCTACATCTCGTATATTTCTCTTGGGGTGTTGTAAGACTCTGAGATAACGTGCGTAAACTAAACTATTTAAGCGAAATATACATATATAATATACCTATGCTACATAACAATTTTGCATAAATTACCTACTCTTGTGATTACAATTTTACATACGTCATACCTCAACGATGGTGTACAAATTATGGGTTTTTGTTTACACCATCAGATACAAGTTTTTTATGAAGTGGAAGGTATGTAATAAATTTTGGGTATTGTTTGTTGCTATATGTCGCTTCACCGTTCCCCACTCCTTTGGCTGCACGCGGTTACTTTGTTAGGCCAGAAACTGTATTATTAACGATGATGACAACTGATACAGATAAAATGTGGATTAACGTTTATTACATGTTTTTAGCCATTCTACATGTCAGTATGTTGAACATTATTCTGTGTCTATTGTATAACAGCAGTGATACTAAACATAACAACATGCAGGGTGATACCATTGATTATATACTACGAACAAGATAGGCCACAGTACAGCAAGAAACGTTACACATAAAATGATAATTATTTAATTCGAAGTGCTACTTCCACACAAAATTGAGAAGAAATTACAACAGATAGCGCTTTTCATAATGAAATTGTTTGCGTCTTGATTGTAGAAGTTAGTTTTGATTATAACTGTAATTTTCACGGCAAGAATGTTTTGAAATTTAATATGTAGGTATATGTATAGTGATGCTGATAATGACAGAGTAATTTTTATGCTTTCGAGTTTCATTCATGAATGAACGACTGTTTCGCATATTAACTGATAGAAATGGCGACTCCGAAAAAATTAAATTTACCTGAACATGAACTAATAGTATAACCTTTTCGGAATACCCACTCCAAAAATTCGAATATCATTTTAACGAAAGAAAAACGTAGTAGTCATTAGACGGTAGTATTTACTGTTTTTTTTACTGAAAATCTATTCTTGCTCACTAGTTGCATATATAAATATTACTAAATTTAAAATGAATTAAATTTTAGGGATGCCGATGACCAAAATTAAGAATTATGGCAATTTGTATTTGTGAGTTATATACCTATGATATTGCTATACAAAATACACGGATTTTACGTAACCATTACGCAAATAACCTTTCAAAGAAGAATGCCAATTTAATGTTAGGAAGCATACTAAATGAAGCTTAAAAAAAGTTGTACTTAGTCGAGTTTTCTTTATACCAATATATTTTTTTAGTTTAATGCATGTAAAGTGTAAATTGTTCGATATTCGCCTCAATCTCTCACCGCAAAAAATAATTCAAAACTGCTAACATGCCCACCTATTTATCTTATACTTAACACCGAGCTTAATACTATCTATGTTCATACTTCATATTCCCTATAACTATAAACTAAAAATTGGAACAAAATACATTAAATGTGAAAATCCGTACCTTCGTAAAAATACCTAAGTACAATTATACCTACATATAACTACTTATGTTGCCTTATATTTAGTTTTCTAGTAGATGACGATTGAGCTTTAACGGTCTTGAAAGATTTTAACATTGTCGCTGGCATTTTATAAAGTTTACAATTTACAAGTAAATCTATTATATACAGGTTATGTTCTACACATTTATTATTTTTATCTAACCATATAGGAAATTTATTTTTTAAGTTTTCGTTAATTTCTAAAACAAGTGTTTTTTTAATAAAAGGTATATGTTTGTTATTTTAAAAAAAAATTGTCCATAATATTTAAACAAAACAAAACAATTTGTACAATGACATCTGTTGGCCGATATAAAAAATCTATACTGTCACTCTCGCCATAATCCCGTAAAAAAATTAAAATTTCGTTTGTTGCGCGCACTTCGTCACTTTTTTGGTTATTTGTTTTACACAATAGGGTACATGACAGTGGAAAAAGAATAAATAGATTTTTGTTTCATAAGATAGAGTAAGGTGCCAGGGTATCGTAAAATAACTTTCTTTGGTAATGTACACGAGTAACTATTATATTTTAGTAAAACTAAAATAAAAAAATAACGACATTTGTCACGTGATATCAAACGCCAATCAGAGCGCGTGACGTCATTATCCTAATCCTCTGTGCGTTTCTATAGTTTGTCCACGTTTTTAATTTAGTGCTTGTTCCATTTTATAGTGATTGTATTATCCTCAAGTTCAGTTTTTAAAACCAGAAATGAATGGAAAGTAGGTGTACGAACGCTGATAGCAGCAAATCTGCCAAAAATTCATGTAATGATGGGAATATTTCTTGCATCAAAGTGCATCTTGCATCTTGTAGGTTTTTAAGTTAAGATAGGTTTTTACAAGAAATTTAGTTATTTAAGAGGAATGTGTACTTAAGATGCTATGTTTTTAGGTCATCGAAGCTATCATATGGACATGATTCAGTAAGCTATGTCCAACTGTACGTAAGCGCAACTTTTTTACATTACGAACATTTTGTAGATAAAGGTCTAAATTTATAAAGTAGTTCTTAAAAGAATTTTTTTTGGAAAAACAGTTTTTATGGCGGGCGCTCTTATGGAACTTTACATTGGGTGCAGTCGAACAGAAGACTCTTAAGCGTGATGGCAACTTATTCACAGTTAAGTCAAAATTTGCCCGCAATATACGGTTCACGCAAAATTGTGTGCAGTTTCCTTAGTTGACAACGAAGAAAACAATTATTTTCTTTGCCCTACCATCACGGGACTTTTACAACCCCTCTAAGTCCAAAGGAGTACTAGTGTCGATAAAGTCTTCTTTATCATGTTTAACAAGTCATGATCTAGTCCGATTATTCGAAACTCTATGGGCAAATGGCCGAATCGGTTTCGGAAGTTGTCCAAATTGTCGTCTACCGCACGCCTCAGGAGTTAACGTACGTGAAAAATGTGCTACTCATGTCAATACAGTTTTCTATATTACGTTTAATCAGCAATCGTCGAGAATCCTTTTGGATTTCTCTACTCCATGAAGCTTTTGAATGATACAGGATCTTTGGAACCAGATTTACCCGCCTGGGATACTTATCTGTGCTACACAAAAATGTGACCACTGAGCCCTACCGCCACCACAAGGTGTACCCCATGGTAGGGCACCACTTATAGCAGTTATAATTCATCACGAAATCTTTTAAACTATTTACGCTGGGGTTATGTGTTTATAATTGTCAGGACTGTGACGTCACAGACACCGCCATGACACAAAACAGTGTTTTGGCGCTAGAATAAAAATTTACAATTTAAATTGCATAAATCTGCAATAATATGATTTATTTTTCTGAAATATCATTTTTTAAAGTTATAGTAGAGGTAAACGAACAGTTATAACGGATTTTAAAAAATTTGTCATCTACCCTATTCGCACATCAATGAGATCCCGGCGCCGCGTAAGCAAATTCCTAAACAATCATAAGGAGGTAAAACTAAAGCATCTCCATAAATCAATCGCGCTGCCTTAAAGACAAAATTGGATAGGTACCTGTACCTATGTAGTATCATTGTAAATACAATGGTAGTATCATTGAATTTATTGGTAGTATGTACCTAATACAATACCATAAAATTATTATTCAATGCTAATACGAAGACTGTAGTGTGTATCGTTTTGAAGAAAATTTGAACATAAAGGGAAACATTGTCATTATAAAATTACTTGTGATAAGAAGGGAACACGATACCATTTTTAAATACGAGTGTTATGAATGGTAGTTTCTCTTCATTAATATCAATATTACTTTCCTATGGATCTGAGACGAAAATCTTGGCTAAAATTAATAGAATTCTGCACTTGAAACGTTTATTTTAATAA